CTCATCCTCCACCTTCCTAAGCATGATGTCCTTCTCCAAGGAGTAGCCTCTTCTAACAAGTTGCCCAAAGTATGTGAGATGAAGCTGTTACCTTTCCCCTCAAGAAGCACTCTGGCTTCGCTTTCTCCAAGACCTGTGTTTGTTCTTGAGGCAACAACATGGGATATTCAGTGCTCTTCTCCAACACCACAGTTCAAAGTCATGGATTCTTCTTCTGTCATCCTTATTCATTGTCCATTTCTCAGAGACATAACAAGTGATTGAAAAGACTATGGTCTAAATCAGGCTCCTCAAAACTGACTCCTCAAGCTGATCATTGTTCCTCAGTAATTTAAAGAGGTCCCTGACTGCAGACTTTCCCAATGTAATACGTCTCCTGATCTCCTGACTGCTGGTACCAGGGGTGTTGATTGTGGAGCGAACTAAGATGAAGTCCTTGATAGTTTCAATCTTTTTTTTTCCATTGATCATGATATTGCCTACTGGTCCAGTGGTGGGTATTTTTGTCTTCTTGACATTGAAATACAGTGCATATGGAAGGCTATATTCTTTGATCTTTTGCAGCAAGTACTTCAGGTCATCCTCACTTTCAGCAAGCAAGGTTGCATGTCATCTGCATAACACAGGTTGTTGATTCTTCCTCTGATCCTAATGCCACTTACTTCTTCATAGATCTCATTGCCAACTTCTCAAGTGATATTGTTGTTGTTGTTGTTGTTGCGTACTTTCGAGTCAGACCAACCCATAGCTGACCCTCTGGCAGTTTTCAGAGGTAGTTAATCACATGGGAGGAGATTGCCCATCCTTCTCAAGTGATATACTAGAACAGAAAGATCACAAATGAGTGGTTTTACCAAGCAGAAGTCTACTATATCCTCGTTAAGAAGTCTAAGAGCCCTAATTCAGGGTGCTGGCTCTAGGCAAAGACTCTTTTTCTCTATCAGATTGGATAAAGGTCCTCAGTTTCAGAGCTTCTACCCTTGATAGATCTTCACGTGACTTGGAATCTCTCCTCCTCATCTCTGTTTAATCTCTTATATCTCTGAAAGGAATGACTCAAGATATGTTGTTGTTGTTGTTGTTATGTGCCATCGAGTCGTTTGCGACTCATAGCGACCCTATGCACAACAGCCCTAAACACTGCTCTATCCTGCGCCAACAACACCGCCTCTGACACACCCATCCCGATTACCCCAGTCACCGAATCAATCCATCTCAGAGAGGGTCTTCCCCTCCTGCGCTGTCCCTCCACCCTCCCAAGCATGATGTCCCTCTCCAAGGACCCGTCCCTCCTGGCAACATGTCCAAAGTATATCAGACGAAGCTCCAGAATCCTTGCCTCTAAGGAGTAGCTTGGTTTAATCCTCTCCAAGATGAATCTGTTTGTTTTCCTGGCAGTCCATGGACTCAAGATATAATCTACACTAATTCTATCTTATTAATATAACAAATACAACCTGTTTCCAAATGAGATTGTCACCACAGATGTAGATGTTAGAATTGACAAGTAAGTGGGACACAATTCAGTTCATAACACCCCACTTTCAGCATAGCATCTAGTACATGGTTGGATAGATAACAGTGCCATATTCTTTTCCTTCCGGCAGTTGGAAAATGTAACATTTGAACAGAAGAACTTTGGGATGGATGGATGTAAAAAGAGAAAGGGTCGCGTAGGGATGGCCATATCTGATCTGTACCAACCTCACAAATGGGAACTGTCCCCATCAACAACATCAACAGCACAAAACCAATTCCCATGAGATCAGACGTGTCCCACACACACTCTCCTGCATCTCTCATCCCAATATCAATTTTACTGTTTTACTTGATCCAAAATCCAATGTGGTAGGTTACAGATCACACAGAACCACAGTGAGGAAGTCAAAAGGCTGTAATTCAGGTTAGTAACAGAATACAGTCAGGGTAGCTTTCAAAATGTGCTCGCAGGCACCTCAGCCTTAAGCTTCATGGTTCTAGGCCAGTGTTAAAAGTTCTCGGTCCTCAGGGAGAAAAATGCAACAATGAATGAATGGAAATCCAAAATCTCCATAAATTTTCATTAAAATAAAGTGAAAAAAATAACAGGAATAATAACTCAAGGATGGATTTCAATATCACAATAAATTTATTTAAATATCTTTTTTTTTAAAGTTCTCAGTCCTGTCAGTATTGGCTCTGCCTTCTACCCCATCTCATCCCCCCGAGTCCTCCAATAAACTTGAGCCAAAGGCACTCGGCGCTGGTTCTGGAGTATCCATCCCAGGGTCCACGCCTTCTGTCAGCTCTCTGGTTCTCTCCTCTGGCTGCTATTGCTGTTGCTCCCATGAGCCTGGGCACGCTTTTGCCTGCAGTGAGGTTTCTCTCTCTCTGCTGCTGGATCTACTCAATTTAATGGCAAGATAGCCAATCCCCCGCTGGACTGGCCAGCCAATCCCCTTGTGGATGGGTGAGACTAGCCAGTCCCCTTGTGGAGAGGCCAGCGTGCCCTATTTACATAGTCAGACCCATCCACATGGCAAAGTGAGTTAATGGATATGGAAATAATTTTGGATAATGATGTGGATTGATTCAGTGACTGGGGTAATTGGGATGGGAGTGTCAGAGGCAGTGCGATTGGCACAAGACAGAGCGGAGTTTAGGGCTGTTGTACATAGGGTCGCTATGAAATCGCAAGCGACTCGATGGCACATAACAACAACAACAACAAAGCCCTTAACACCACAATGGTACTTTATGGAAACATGCCCAAGTTCAAGCTGAAGTTGAGGAAAATTAAATCAAGTCCATGGGAACCAAAATTTGATCTTAAGTCTATCCCACTCGAATTTCAAAACCATCTCAGGAACAGGTTTTAGGCCTTGAACACCAATGAGCATAGACCAAATGAGCTCTGGGAGGATATCAAGAAAACCGTCCATGAAGAATGCAAAAGATCGTTACAGAGGCTGAAAAAGAAGAAAAGACCAAGATGGATGTCAGATGAGACTCTGAATATTGCATTAGAGCGCCAAGAAGCCAAAGCTAAAGGAAGAAACCAAGAAATAGCTAAACAGAAAATTTCAAAAGGCAGCCTGGGACGACAAAGCAAGATACTATAATGAAATGTGCAGAGAGCTGGAGTCAGAAAATCAAAAGGGACGAACTCGCTCAGTGTTTCTTAAGCTGAAGGAGCTGAAAAACAAATTCAAGCCATGGGAAGCAATACTTAAGGATACTTTGGGCAGAATATTAAATGATCCAGAAAGTATCAAGAGAAGATGGAAGGAGTGGGGGGAAAAGTGCAGCAATGAATGAATGGAAATCCAAAACCTCTGTAAATGTCTATTAAAATTAATAATTAAAAAAAAAAGATGGAAGGAGTACATAGACTCACTGTATCAGAAGGAACTGGCTGACACAGAAGAATTTCATGAAATGACATGAGCAAGAGCCTGTGGTGATGAAAGAGGAAGTTCAAATTGCTCTGAAGGAATTGGCAAAAAACAAGGCTCCAGGAGTTGACGGCATACCAGTTGACATATTTCAACAAACAGACACTAGCCTGGATGTGCTCACTAATTTGTGCCACGAAATCTGGAGAACAGCCAGCTGGCCCACTGACTGGAAAAGATCGATATTTGTTCCCATTCCAAAGAAAGGTGACCCAACAGAGTGTGGAAATTATCAAACAATATCATTGATATCACATGCAAGCAAGATTCTGCTGAAAAGTATCCAAAAACGTTTGGAACAATATGTCAACAGAGAACTGCCAGATGTGCAGGCTGGATTTAGAAGAGGTCGTGGTACTAGGGATATTATAGCTAATGTTAGATGGATCTTAGCAGAAAGCAGAGAATACCAGAGGAATGTCTATCTGTGCTTCATTGACTATGCAAAGGCTTTTGACTATGTGGATCACAACAAGCTATGGCTGACTCTGAGAAGAATGGGAATCCCAGAACATTTGATTGTGCTAATGCGAAACTTATACTTGAACCAAGAGGCAGTTGTCAGAACAGAGCAAGAGACACTACATGGTTCAAAATCAAGAAGGGGGTCTTCCTCCCCTCGGCCAGCTGGTAGGTTCAAACTACTGACCTTTGGTTACCAACCCAAAGTCCCCACTGCCCCACCTGGGCTCCTAGACCTTCTGCACAGTGAGGTCCCTGTACTCCCTCAGAGGACGAGGCACAGCGTTGAAGTGAAGACCTACATGGATCCTTGTTGCCCTATCCCATGTTGCGTGTGAAGGCCATCTGGCCATGGCCGTGCTGGGTCACTGTCAAGGTCCTCTTCCTCATGTCCCTCCATGCCTCTGTGTCAGGGTAGCCACCTTCTCACTCCACCACCCCAGTTTCCCAGCTTGCACTTTTCCTCCTCCCTCAGCCCTTCTCTAACTGGTGGTAACCTAGTCCTTCCAGGCTCTCCCCTACATGACAGTGGCCCTGTGCTTTGCTCTCTGAAGGGTCTTGGCCTTCCTCCTGTCCGGAATTACAGCTGCAGTTCCTAATGGGCCATCTCCCACCTCAGATCCTTTCTCCCCCCTGCAATCAGAAAGGCCTTTTGAAAGGCAAAACTGCTCAGAGTGTCCCCAAAGGAGAGGCCTCTTGTGGTGTCATCATTGCCCGAAGGGAAATGCACAAGGAGCCTGGGTGATGGAGGGGATCAAAGCCACCAGCTGCTGTGGGAGACCCATGAGGCTGTCAGCTTCCACAAAGATCCCAGCATGGGGACCCCACAGGGCGGTTCTGCCCTGCCGACAGGGTCCCTGTGAGTTGGAATTGACAATGTGTAGTAGGTCTTGGGTTTAGGATAAGGTAAGTTCTTGCTGTTTCCCTTTGTCCCAGGCATTACCCCTTGCTTCCTGGGGGGGAGCTGGTTCTTCACACAGCCTCCAGCACCACTGCGCTCCCCCTCACCCCTCAGTAGGTGAGCAGCGTCAGGTGTGACCACACCTGTCCCTCAACAGTGGCCCGCGGAGGTCTGACCATCCTCCCCCTCCTCCTGACTTCTAGGCCAAGTTTGAGCTGATCGTCTCCGAGGCCTCTTACCTGCGCAGCCTGAATGTGGCCGTGGAGCATTTCCAGCTGTCCAGCCAGCTCCGGGCCGCCCTGTCCAACCAGGAGCACCAGTGGCTGTTCTCACGCCTGCAGGACGTGCACGAAGTCAGCACCATGTGAGCCCCCTCTCCACCTCCTTGCCCTGCGGGGGCGGAAGCACCCCGGGGGGCGGCTCTGTCAGGAGGATGCGTTCATCCTCTGATTGTCCAGCACTGACTCTGAAGTCGGCGGGTCCCTGTCCCCAGGCTGCTTGGTATCTTCACAGGGTGCCTGTCATTCGCCTCTGTGCTTGCTTCTCTGTGTCTAATTCACTTTTCCGTCTCGGGAGTCACTGAGTTCAGTGCACGTCCTACACTGATAAGGCTTCATTAACCCCACAAAGGAAGCCCTGTTCGCAGATGCTCAGGAGTGGGGTCAGGGCTCTGACTCGGTCCTCACACCCTCTTCTCTCTGACCTCACTCTGTTTTCCTTGCTCCATCTGCAAGCCCTTTCTCCGTCATGGTCGGGGTGAGGCTGGAGGAATGCAGAGCTGAGGGGTGCCCAGGTCCGTGACGCACACACAGTGGGTGAGGAAGCTCGAGATGTGCATGGGGGTGAGGGGTGGGAAGGAGGCGAATGTCAGAAAACCAGAGAGGATGGAAGGAGTTGGAAAATGGGGGTCAGCATGGCAGCTTGGGGCAGCTGGGGATCCACACAGCTCCCTGCTGGGGAGGCGTCAGGGAGCCCGTCATGTGTGTCACACACCTGCTGGGGTCCCATGCAGGTTCCTCTCCGACTTGGAGGAGAAATTCGAGAAGGACATCTTCACTTTCCACGTATGTGATGTGGTCCTGGACCACACCCCACACTTCCGCCGCGTCTACCTGCCTTACGTCACAAACCAGACCTATCAGGAGCGCACCTTCCAGAGCCTGATGTGAGGGCCCACCCGCTGCCCGGCACCCTCAGCTGAGAGCTCTTCTGTCTCCCCGCCTCCACTCCCCTACTGTCCCTGGGGGTGGCCTGCGGAGGGTGGAGTCCCGTCCACTGGATCGCCCTCTGGGCGATCATACCAGGGTCTCTGGAAGTCAGGTCCCCCACTTGCCCTTCAGGTATCCACAGAGCCCCCGCCCCTCACAGTGTCCCCACCCCATAGGAATGGCAACAGCCTCTTCCGTGAGGTCCTGGAGAAGCTGGAGAGCGACCCCATCTGCCAGCGTTTGTCCCTCAAGTCCTTCCTGATCCTGCCGTTCCAACGTATCACCCGGCTCAAGCTGCTGCTGCAGGTGCTGGGCCCCAAGCCCCGGGACCCCCACCACCCCTCACAGCCCTCTCCAATGCCTCCCAAAGCCCCGGGGAACCACCCCATGGCCCCCAGAACCTCCCTATAGGCCCCTGAACCTGACCTCCCCAAACCCCCACAGCCCCTGTACCTCCCCTCGGCCCCCTGAACCTCCCTACAGCCCCTGTGACCCCCTCCAGTGCCTCCCACAGCCCTATGAATCTGCCCACAGCCCCCTGAATTTCCCTATACCCCCTGTGACCCCTCTCCAGTGTCTCCCACAGCCCCCATGAACATCTCCACAGCCCCCTGAATTTCCCTATAGCCCCCATAACCCCTAAGACCCCCCACAACTCTCTCCAATGCCTGTAACAGCCCCCATGAACCTCCCAGCCTTCCCCACGGCTCTTAAAGTCCACGACCCTCCACAGCCCCCTCCACACCCTCATAGTTCCTCATTACGCTCCCCACAGCCCACCTCTATGACCCTGTCCACTCACAGGGGGACCTGCCTTCCTCATCCAGCAGCAAGGAGGGCATTCACTCCTGGGCACGGATGTGGGCAGGCCCCTCTGCCCACACCTTCTGTCTCCCTGTCCTCATCTCTCCTGTCCCTGTTCCCTCACCCTGGGGCTGCTGTCCCCTATCGTCCTGCAGAACATTCTGAAAAGAACGCAGCCTGGCTCTTCAGAGGAGGCAGAGGCCACGAAGGCCCACCATGCCCTGGAGGAGGTAGGCAGCCCACACTAGGTCCATTCTGGCCCAGGATCGTCCTCTGTGGGGAGTTCCTCCTAGGCCCACACCCTGACTCCTGGAGAGCACAGGAGTAACAAAGGCGGGGCTCAGCTGCCCCTGGTCAGTCCTCTTCCCACTTAACCTGGAGCGCCCAATCAGGTCCTGCCAGGGCACAAGTCCACCCTCTCCCCGCCAGCTTCGCAGCTCTGTCCCTGAGCTAAGGAGCAGGGCCACAGCGCCTGACCTGCTGTCTTTTCCCATTTCCCCGCCCAGCTGATCCGGGATTGCAACAACAACGTGCAGAGGATGCGGCGCACGGAGGAGCTCATCTACCTGAGCCAGAAGATCGAGTTTGAGTGCAAGGTGCGCCAGGCCTGAGACCGCCCAGGACTTGAGACCACGCCCCAGACCAGGCCACGCCCCATCTCAAGGCCACATCCCACTGCAAGGCCACGCACTGACAGTAGGCCACGCCCCATCTCAAATCCTCACTCCCACCTCAAAACTGAGATGGGTCACTGAGACCACACTCCATTCCACCACCATTCCCCCCTTCCATGCCTCCTCCCGTGACTACACCCTGTCTCAAGACTATAGCTCCCCTGACGACCATACCAGTACTAACCCCCATTCTGCAACCAGCTCCCCACCCAGAGATTCCTCCATGCCAACACCACAGCCCAACTGTGACCCCCAACAAATGCCCACCTGCACATCCAGCAGGTGGTCTTCATCTCAAGGCCACACCCATCCTGCGACCACCCACAGCAGCCCTTCACTGACCCGCCCATCTCCACCCAGCTCCATGGGACACCCAACTGCCTACTCGTGTCCCCCCAGTGTACCGTTCAGGGAGGCGGGGGCCACTGGCCAGCGCACTGTCAAGCCACCTCACTGAGGGTCCTCCACACTGGACGGGACACAGGAGCTGTGTCCCGGTCTTTGGGAGGCCCCTGTGACCAGGCCCTTCCTCCCCCGACTGCAGATATTTCCACTCATCTCACAGTCCCGCTGGCTGGTCAAAAGCGGGGAGCTGACGGCCCTGGAGTTCCCCGTGTCCCCAGGGCCGCGGAGGAAGCTGAGCACGCGCCCTGTCCACCTGCATCTCTTCAACGACTGCCTGCTGCTGTCCAGGCCCCGAGAGTCAGTGATCGGAGGGGAGCGGACTAGGGCGAAATAGCCGAGTCTGTGATGGGGGTGTGGGAAGGGACAACTCCGGGGTCAGTGAAATGGGCGGCAGGATGGAGGGGGCCACGCCAGTGTGAGTGTTACAGACGGGCAGGATAGAGGGGGGTCACCCCCACAGTCAGTGATACAGACACAACAAGATGGCCTGGAGGGGGGCACCCCAGTGTGAGTGTTACAGATGGGGCAGGATAGAGCAGGTCCTGGTAGCTCCAGGCGTGGGTCCCTCTTGGCCTTGAGGAGGAAAGGACTCCCCAGTGGTGTCTGGGGTCACACAGTCCTTCTGGCTGTGTGAGGGAGGGGGCAAAAAATTAGTGTTTGCTGCTGCGGGTGTGTCTATTGGAGGCCTCTCTGGGCTTGACTCAGTCCAGGCCCTGGGGCCCTTCCTGTCAGGCCCATCCCCTCATACCTTACCCCTCAGGCCCTCCTTGTCAGGCCCTCCCCCGCAGGCTCCCTGACTCAGCCCCTCTCCTTCACCTCCCCCTCAGGCCCTCTCCTGCCCCTCCACCTCAGGCCCTCCCCTTCACCTCCCCCTCAGGCTCCCCCCCCCTTCCCCCCAGGCCCTAAATCTGTGAATAAAGCTGGGTAAGACCCATGTGTTAGGAGCACTGAGCTGTTCAGGGACTGGCTTTGGGTATGGAGATCACAGCCCCTCTTCGGTGCTGCTCCTGGATGGACTCACACTGCCCAGCTCTTGATCAGCAGGGTGGTAACTGGATCACCAGGGACTCTGGGGGCCCGAAAGTGCCACGCAGCTGTGGCAGCTGCTCTCTGCAAGGAAATGTCCATTGCACTGGACGTGAGCTAGTGACGAGCTCTGGGCCTGGGGCAGCCGAGGGCCCCACTCAAGAGCAGGTCTGGTTCACCGGGGGTTGCACGCTGCCATGCAGGGGGCTTTGGGTCCTGGTCTGTGAGGGGTGCGGAGAGCTGAAAAGCCCTGTGTCTGCAGGGGCAGCCGGTTCCTGGTGTTCGACCATGCCCCGTTCTCCGAGGTCCGCGGGGAGAAGTGCGAGATGAAGCTGCACGGGGCCCACAAGAACCTCTTCCGCCTCTTCCTGCGCCACAGCACCCAGGCCACGCAGGCCGAGTTCCTCTTCCGCACGGAGACTCAGTAAGGGCTGGGCATGGACAAGGGCATGGGCAGGGTAGGCACCGGCCCTCCAGGCTCAGGCACTGGGGAGGGACCAGACCTCACACCCCCCTCCCCGGGCACTGCAGATAGACCAGGGCCAAGACCAGGCATAGCACGGCCGGCCCTGTCTGGAGACACTGTACCGGGACCAGAGCCAAGACCCCATGGCACTAGGCCATTGTAGAGGGGTTAGACCCCAAACCAGGTGCAGCTTGGCTGGCCACCCCCACTGGGGGACAGACTCACACTCTCAGAACTGACAGCCTGCCTGCAGAAGGTTGGAGGTGGGAGCTTACGAGAAGTCCATCCATTCACGAGGGCCATGTCCAGAGAGCTAGTAGGAGGTGGAGCTGGGGGGAGAGGAAAGAGAGGGCTGGCATGCGGGTGGCTGTAATCAGTGCCCCCACATCCGCCCTGAGACCCCTTGGAGCCAGGGCTGGTGGGCACAGGCATAGATGAGGTCGGCTCTGGGCCCACCCCCCACGCTGCCTGCTCTCAGGTGGGCTCTGGACCCTCCCCCCACGCTGCCTGCTCTCAGGCACACATTCATCGTGGTGATGACTTTGAGAACCGTGAAGTGTTCATCTTGTCTGTAAAACCCACTGCCTTGAGACTCCCGGTGGCCTTATCTTTCCTGTCTCTCCACTGCCACTGAGTCTGAACCGATGCCCGGGTGACCTCCACTGGGCTCCCCGGGCCGTCCATCACCCTCAGAGCCAGCGGTGTGTTTGAACTGCCAGGTGTGGCCTTTCAGCACAGTGCCCTGCTGGCTGCACCCCCACCTCCTTATCTTTTCTACAGTAAGAACCAGTCATGGGATCACCATGCGTCAGAACCTACTCCACATTAGCGAACCACAAGGCCGCACACATTCGTACAGTTTTGAGGGTGTGACTAATAATATCTGTCAACCCAGTGCACATGGCAAGAGGCTGTCGCCATGATTGCTGGCAGGAAAAATGTGAGAGTCTCTTCTTTACAAAGTGATGCAGCTTCCAGAACCTCTGGACTCTCGTGTTGTGGACACTGCCCAGTCCCGTCCAGCGTGCTGTCTCCTGTGCTCACTGAGGAGCAGCGGCCTCAGCAGATGTTTGCCTGCGGCCTGCAAGCTGCCCAGCCATGTGGACAGGCCCAGCCGTGCTGTGGACTTTGAGCTGCATTCTCCTGGGGCAGGAGAGTGTGAGCTGGCCTTTACCCAGGCTGAGTTGGAAGCAGAGACTGAGATAAAGCCAAACCTTTCAGATCGATGCAGGTTAGGCCTGAGGATCTTGTTGTTGTTAGGCCCCAATGAGTCTTCTCCGACTCCTGGGGACACAGGGGCCGTCGAATGAGAGCTGCCTGGCCCAGCAGCGTCCTCGCCAGCTCTGCTGTGCCCAAGGCCAGTGCTGCATCACTCTGTCAGTCCATCTTCACGACGGTCTCTCACTGCCCCTCTACTTTTCCCAGCATGTGGGGACTGGCCTCTCCTGTCACATCCTGTGACTGGAGAACGATGAAAGGAGACTCACAGGGAGCGGAAGTGTTCACTGCGAGGAATTGTAATGACTCACAAACTAGCACATGTGTGAACAGTTGCCTGGGAAACCACTTTACACACATGTACAAAGGGAAAACGGCAAATGGAAAGGCTGGCAGGTCTGTGTCCCACTCTCCCTGAGGTCTCGGGGTGATGCCCTCCCTGCAGTATTGGATTGGAGGCAGCCAGCGGGCAGTGTCAGCCGGGAGCCCTGCAGAGAGGTGGAGGGAATCTGAGCGAACCAAGATGGTTCTTTGACCCCACACAGGTTCCCAGTGGGAAATACGTTGTGGTTGAGTGTTGACTTGCCCCCCCCACACTTGAAAGTCAGGGTGAGGAGCCTGGGAAGAAAGGGAAGGGAGAGTCATGCTAACTCGGAATGCAAGTCCCCAAGGGCGCCAAGCTCCGGCCAGTAACCAGCTACTCCTGGAGGTGTCAGAGCATAACTGAATCCCGTGGCACCTTCATGAACTGATGAATCAGAAGTAGAACCCTGGGCCTTGTTCCCGAGGTGCCTCTGGGTGGACGCGAGCCTCCAGCCTTTCAGTGAGAGCTTGTGAACTTTGGCACAATCCAAGGAGTCCAAGTTTCTGTTTGTTGTGTGTATATATCCTGACTCCTGGTGGCCCTGGGGGTTGGAGAGAACCACTCATGGCGTCTCTGAGGCTGCAGGCCTTTATGGAAGCTGCCTGCCTCACCCTTCTCCGAATGCTGGTGTGCTCCAACCATAACCTTTCAGCTGGCAGCTGGGCCCTAACCACTGCACCACTAGGGCTCCTTTGTTGTTGTTGTTGTTATGTGCCATTGAGTCTCTTGTGACTCATAGCGACCCTATGCACAAGAGCCCTAAACGCCGTTCTATCTTGTGCCAACCTCGCCATCTCAAACACATTCATTCTCACCACTCCACTCACAGAATCGATCCATCTCATTGAGGGTCTTCCTCTCCTGCGCCGTCCCTCCACTCTCCCAAATATGATGTCCCTCTCCAAGGACCAGTCCCTCCTTGCAACATGCCCAAAGTATGTCAGACGAAGCTTCAGAATCCTTGACTCCAGGGAGCATTCTGGCTTCACCCTCTCCAGGACAAACCAGGAGCTAAAAACATCTGTAAATGGGTAGTAGTGATTGTACAAGGCAGGGATTGTCATAAATGTTGCTGAGGTTTTTTTGTGTGGATGTGGAAGGAAACAAGGTAAACATCTTAAAATGTTGTGGTCCTGCTGTGCCCCTGAGTGAGCAGCCCCCCTGCACCCCTCACCCCAGCAGTCCCTGACCTGGACGAGTCCTCCTGGCCTGTGCCCCCTCGGCCCTCACGAGGCTGCAGTGTGAGCTCTGCCCCTTTCCTTCCAGGAGTGAGAAGCTCCGCTGGATCTCGGCGCTGGCCATGCCCCGAGAGGAGCTGGACCTGCTGGAATGCTATGGTAAGCAGGTGCTGGAGGACAGGCATGGTGGGGCCGGGGGAATAAATACACGAGCAAACACTTGATGAAGATGAGTCAGATGTCACTTGAGCGGTACGTCAGCAGGGGAGCTGCCTGGATTCAAGAGACCAGGGACCAGGGGAGGTAGTCTCGCTGCTGTCAGATAGGGCTTGACTAAAGCAGAGGATGCCAGAAAGGTGGTTATTTGTGTTACACTGACTATCCAAAGGCATTTGACTCGGAGTCATAATTAATTCCAGAATACTTAATTGTACTTATGCAAAATCTGTACATAGACCAAGAAGTGGTCCTTTGAACAAGGGGATGCTGCATGCTTTCAGATCAGGAAAGGGTGTATCAGGGTTGCTCCAAACCTACTCAGTATGTACACTGAGCAAATAATCTAAGAAGCTCTAAATTACATAAAGACGAATGAAGCATCAGGATTGGAGGAAGACTCAACAACCTACAATATGCTGATGGCAAAACCTGGCTTATGGAAAGTGAAGAACACTTAAAGGACTTACTGAAAAAGATCAAAGATCTTTGATAAGGCTTACATCTCCACATCAAGAAAATAAAAGTCCTCACTCACCACTAAATCAGTAAACATCATGATAGTTGGGGGAAAGATTGAAGTTGACAGTGACTTCATTTTTCTTGGATCGACAATCAACAGCTCTGGTTACAGCAGTAAGGAAAGCAAAAGACATTGCACTGGGCAAATCTGTCAGGGATTTCAGAGTGCTGAAGAGCATGGCTGTCTGCTCAAAGACTAAGGTGTGCCCGACCCAAGGTCTTTTAGATGCTTCACTTGCATGTGAAAGTTGGACACGAATCAGGAAGACTGAAGAATTGATGCCTTTGAATTGTGGTAAAGAGTGGTAAATATGCCATCGTTGTTGAATGCTGCCAGATTGGAAGCAACCCATAAGGGACCCTCCGGTGAGTTTTCAGAGGCAGTAAATCACAAGGAAGGGATTGGCCATCCTTTCCCTACGGAACAGCTGATGGGTTCGAACTCCCTGCCTTTGGGATTGCTGCACAGCTTCTTGCCAGAAGATCACCAGAGCATCACAGACTGCCAACCCCACCCCTACAGAGAAAGACACAAAAACAAATGTGTCTTGTAAGAGGAGCAGCCAGAGAGTCCCTTAGAAATAGGGAGACTTTGTCAGATCCCTTGGGCGTATTATCAGGGAGGGTCAATGCTTGGAAAAACAGGGTCAGTGCAGGAGAGGAAGCCTGTCCAGGAAGGATCAGCCCAGGGACTGACCAACAGTGAGCTAGTGTAGACAGTGCAGGACCGGGCACGGTTTTGATCCGCTGCGTTTAGGGTCCTACGTGTGAGTGGCACTGGACAACAAGCAGCCCTGAGGTCCTCTACTCTTGCCCAGCCTTGTCCTTGGGTGGTGCAGATGGTTTACACTCAACCACTTAGCTAAAGGTCGAGGGTTCAAGCCCACCCAGGGGAACTGTGGCTGAAAGGCCTGGTGAGCTACTTCTGTTAAGAGTAAATTTCAAACTCATGACCCTCCGCTGAGTCTGTGAGGCTGTGAATCTTTCTGGGGAGACTGCCCCTGTTCTCTTGTGGGGCCCTGATGGATTCAAAGCAACAACCTTCCTAGCCTGGCACATCACACTGTGCCACCAGAGCTCCTTCCACCCAGGTGGCAGCCGGGGAAGCCCTGTGGAGCATTGGGCTGTGCACACAGGTCACCAGGAGCCCGGAGCAGCTCCACGCTGGCAGGTCTGGTTTGGGGCCTTGCTGCATGGAGGTCTGGGTGCATGTGGGGCAAAGGGCAGTTTGGGAAGCATAGAACACAGGAAAAGTTTATGCCCATCCCCTGGACAGGAGGCCCTGAAGCTCTCCAGGCTCTCCACACACTCTGTGTTCATGACAGGGGCATTCTTCTGGTCCGGCCCAGCCCACAGCTGGCCCAGCCAGTGGTGCCCTTCCTCCCAGGAACGTAGGAAGCAGATTGGCTGCGTTTTGGGGGTCTGAGGGTGTTGAGGCCACACTCTGCTCTGAGACCTGAGTGGGGACAAGCTGGGGCAGGACTGTGGGCAGTGACACAGGGTCCAGTTTGTGGCCTGGGGGACCCATGCAAGAAGTGCAGCAGGAAGGCAATGACCAGGCAGGAAGGGACACTCGGGCGTGGGCTCTGAGGCTCTCTGTGGACAATTATGGACCAGATGGGGTGTGGTGGGCACTAGTGCCACTGGCCATATGTGTGAAGAATGACAACCACCAGGGAGCAATGACTTGGAGGGACAAAATGATGGGATGTCCCTGATTCATAAAAGGCAAATTAGCACTGGACCATCTGGATCAGCCCAATGAGCAAGCCAAGGACAGTGACCTCACAGGAAGCCACACTGTGGTCGCCTCTCAAGGCACCTGGTCCATGCCAGTGCTGGGAAGGAGAGACGACACTAGACACAGACGAGTAGTGGCTGTCCAGTGGGAGAGGTGCCTGGTGGCCCCTGTCGGCCTCCGTGGGCCATGTCACCCAGCACCAAAGCCCTCGAGTCTTCAGACGGATGACCGAACATGGAGACCCAGCGGCCAGCACAGGCAGCTGGGGGCCGGGCACTCCTCGGTCATCCTCCCTGGGGACAGAGGGTGCTTAGCCCTGGTGGTCTGACATTCCTGCCCTAGCACTGCTTCGGTCCTGGGGGGAGGGGGCTTCTGTCTTGTCCCCAGCATCCCACCTCCCCACCGCGCCTGCTCCAGGCTCCTCCTACCTGATGCCCGTCTGTCCCGGCACAGACTCCCCACAGGTGCAGTGCCTCCGAGCCTACAAACCCCGAGAAAACGATGAGCTGGCACTGGAGAAGGCCGACGTGGTGATGGTGACACAGCAGAGCAATGATGGTGAGGGGCTTGTCGGGGGGTGGGCGTGGGGAGTAGAGATGGGGGAGCTGGTGGGGGAACAGGGAGATAATGAGGAGCAGTGATGGTGATGGGGGCTTGTCGGCGGATGGGGGAGCAGTGATGGTGAGAGCTGAGGGGAACAGGGAGACAGGAACACTGATGGTGAGGGGGCTTTAGGGAGGTTGGGCACTGGGGAGCAGGGGAGGGTGGAAGCAGTAATGGTAAGGGCTCCTGAGGGGTGGGGGATGGGGAGCAGCGATGGTGATGGGCGTTTATGGAGGGTGGGGAAATGGAGAAGCAGTGATGGTGTGGGGTTCCTGGACTGGGGGAATGTGGGAGTTCTTGGGGTGTGGGAATGGGGGAGCAGTGATGGTCTCGGGGTTCCTGGGGTGGGGGGTGGGGGAACAGTGATGGTCTGGGGATTCCTGGGGTGGGGGAATGGGGGAGCAGTGATGGTCTGGGGGTTCCTGGGGTGGGGAATGGAGCAGTGATGGTCTGGGGGTTCCTGGGATCTGGGCATGGGGGAGCAGTGATGGTGAGGGGCCTATGGGAACAGCGGATTTGGTCAGCCCCTGAAGCTACGGTCAGTGGTTGAAGCTGCACTTCCCATGGGGCTCTGTGCTCAGTGTCGGGGTACAGAGGCACCTCCCGGGGAGCTCAGGGCTATACGTGGTCTTTCTGGTCACCTGTCCCCGCAGGCTGGCTGGAGGGCGTGAGGCTGTCGGACGGAGAGAGGGGCTGGTTCCCGCTGAAGCAGGTGGACTTCATCAAGAACCCGGACGTCCGCGCACAGAACCTGAAGGAGGCCCAGCGAGTGAAACTGGCCAGGCTGCAGCTGGTGGAGCAGGGGTCCGAGCTGCCGAGGGTCTGAGCAAGGACTGGCTGGGTGGACAGCAGACCCCCAGCTGGTGGGCAGCAGGCCTCGCTGGTGGAGCTTCGACCTGTCGGGGTTCAGGAACCAGCCAGATGGGGGGCCCTGCACTGGAAGAGACACTGGAGACCCTCCAGCTCCGCTGAACCAGTCCGCAGCTCATGGTGGCTGATATCGGGGCCCTGTGCTTCAGGATGAGACTCAGGGGAGGGAGACACCCCCCCACCGTGGGCCAGGCCCTGCTGACTCAACCTCTCTGCTCTGTGCTTGGGGACTTGGCACTGGACTCTGGGAACTTTTTCTTGCTGGAAATGAACTGAGGGGGTCTGACCAGTGTGACACCTGCTTGGGGTCATTGCTTGAAGTCTTGACGTGGTGACTGTGTGACAGGCAGAGTCTGACCACAGGTCTTGGGGGAGGGGTACAGAGGGACAGATGGCTGAGCCAGGGGCTGTGAAGATGCCTGCTGACCCGGAACTTGTCCGTGACCCGGCCTGTGGTCAGGCGCCGCCACCAGCTGAGGACGTGAGTGGGGGACTCTCACACTAATAAACAAGGGGCTCCTCTGGGTGCTTTCCTCATACTCAGCACCGAGCAGGCTCAGAACAGGGGTTCCCAAGGGTTCCAGTCCACCTGGTTCTGAGCACGGGGTCCCTGAGCTCCCAGGACACTTAATGCAGAGCATGGATCACCTCAGGGCCCAGCTCGTGTGGTCCAGACCCGTCATCCTCACTTCTAGCTTTTGGTGAACTTTACCTGTGCCTCCAGGTCTGCTGGGAAATAGCAGCCCGGCCTCAGCTGATAACGGTTTTTACGCCTCTGGGCATGGGCGTAAACGTGGATGTCCATAGGAGCACATCCTTCTCTGGCAGCTTGAGTCCATGGACCGCAGTAGTCTCCTGTGTGACTGGAAAACCCTCTGCAGGGCCAGCTTTAAGGTGGAACCTACTAATGTCAGCGAGAGAGAGAGGCGGATAAAGACTCTGTGAGAAGCGAGCTGTCAGTATTACAGATCTGTGCGCTGGTGACCCAGTGCGCTCGACTTCGCGGGCCTGCTCTTCCAAGCATGCGGCCTTCTCCATGAACTGGTCCCAAGATAGCCCGTCCAGAGGGTGTAAGGAGGCTTGGCTTCCTCGCTTATAAGGGTTCTGGCTCCACAAGACAGCTCTGCCCCTTCCGGAAGCTCACGGCATATTTCAGATTCTTCAGCCACACAATCAAAGGCATCATTTCTGTCTTCCTGAGTCCTCAAAGTGACCGTTTTTTTGAACATTTTTTCTTGTGCAGGTTGGCACATTTTATGACATTAATAATGAACCCTCCACATTCTTCCTCCTCCTTTCCTACAATTCTCATGTCCATTCATCCTTCCAGCCTAGCCCGTCCTGGCATTTGGACTTTGTCTCTGGGCAGACAGTGGCCTTTTATTCCTTCATGACTGATCATTCTAGAGAGAGCACTTTCTAGGTGTTGGTGACCACCTTCTAGGCTTTTCAGGTGTTTGGTTGAAAGTTGAGCCGTGGAAATGAGTAGGCGTAATGGCTGGCCTAGGGCCATGGTGTCTGATGGACCAGGAAGCCTGGCCGCTATTAAGACTGAGAGTTCTGTTCCACATCCCCCCATCTGCCCAGAACCTCCAGTGGTGACCCCCACCCAGAACCTCCGGCAGTGAGCTGTTTGAGAGCAGAGTCAGCAGTGGCTGTTAGACACCGTCTAGTTCCTCTGGTTCCAGGGCCATGATGTTGAAGCTCAAGTGACCCATTAATACGCAAGGCTCCATCTCCATGTGTCTTTGATTTTCTTTGTTTTCCTCTTTGTTTGAACAGGGAGAGAGACATGAAAAGCCACACAGCAGAGGGTCATTGGCAAGTTGTTAAGACCCCAGATGCTGCCCAGCAACATGAGATGCAGGACACTGCTGCTGAGAACTATGCCCGTGTCCGTCTTACAGGGCTTGTAAAGCAGGTTTGTCCAGTGATGCATCTTTGACCCCCTGACAGTTGCTCCCATGGGTGTTGATTGTGGATCCAAGTAAAATTAGCTCCTTAACAACTTTGACATTTTCTCCATTTTTCATGCATCTCAAAGTCTGACACTGGATAAGGATGACAGAAGAAGTGATGTCTTTGAATTGTGTTGGAGAAAGATACCTAATAGTCCATATTGTGTGACATCAAGTGGAAACCAACTCAGAGCTGACCTTACAGTGGGTTTGCAGAGGCGATAAATCACTTGTGGAGACTGCCCGTCCTCCCATGAACAATGGCGTATTTGAACCTCTTACCTTTGGCCTGGCAGCACAACTCAGCCACCAGGTCACCAGAACTCCCATGGATTGCCAAAGGAACAAGCAAGGCTGTCTCGGGGGAAGTACATCCAGGCCTGGTGCTTCTTAGACGCAAGGACAGTGCAGCTTGGCTCACGTACTTTGGACATGTTGTCAGGAGGGGACAATTCTTGGGGATAAAAAATATGTTGAGAAAGGCAGAGAGTCTGAGGAAGGAAGATCACCAACAAAATGGACTGACACAGCGAGTATAATCATGGGCTCAAGTGTATGACATGGCCAGGATGGTGCGGATAGGACAGACTTCAGATCTGTTGTTCACAGCGGTCATAGGGATCACAGGTAGCTCAATGGCACCTAACAACGACATCATGATGTTTGCTTCTCAGACAAATTGAAGGCTGTGGTCTTTGATCATCAATAAGTGCTTTAAGTCCTCTCCACTTTCTACAAGAAGGTGGTGGTATCTACATGTTGTAGCTTGTTGATGAGTCTTCCTTCAATTCTGATGTCACGTTCTTTATGTAGTTCAAGGATGGTTTGCTCAGCATGCAGATTGAATAAGTATGGTGAGAGATAGAATATTGGTGCACACTTCTGATTCCCTTGTTCCCTTTGAACAACTGCTTTTGGTCTATTTACAGGGTGAACTTGAGCACAGTTAAGTGTTCTGGAATTCTTATTCCCAAAATTATACATAATTTATTAATATCTGTACAGTCAAATGCCTTTGCATAGTCAATAAAACACAAGCAAGGATTTTTCTTGTCTCCACTTTCACCCAGGCTCCATCTGACATCAGCAATGACTGCCCTAGTTCATATCCTCTTCTGAGTCTGGCTTGAACGTCTGCCAGTTCCTTATTGATACACTGCCCCACCCGTTTTTAATGATCTTGAGTGTAACTTCACTTGTATGTGGTATTAGTGATAATGTCCAGTAATATCTGCATTCTGTCTGATCCTTCTTTGGATTGAGGACATATACAATCCTCTTCCCATCAGATAAGTGGGATGGAACCCACAAGTGCTGGGGTTAGGGTTTACAACCCATTTGAGGGGCCTGATGCCAGTGTAGCACTTCCTGGTTCTCCCTTGAACAGCCTCTACACCCCTGGAACAAGATTAAATGGGTTTTGTTTTCAAGGTGGTTGATGTTTTCTTAGTTAGCCTTTAGGGAGGAAGTGGTTTAAAGGCCTTTGGAAGCCAAGGTGAGGTGCCTCCTCCTTCCTGTTCTCCCACTCATTGTTTATGGAGCCCCTGGAACGGATCCAGTTCCCTTTTTGCCCGCAGGGGTTCTGAGCTGCCGCTGCCGTCATCTGCAGAGCTGGAGCTGGCCTCCCTGCGGACAAACAAGAAGTCTGGCATTGTGGCACCTTTTGCAGCCCCAGAGACCATCCTTGGAATCAGACCGCCTTGAGCGTTGTCACTGGTCTGCATCATTCCTGGGGAGGTGACCCACAGACGTCTGGCCAGACATGACTCAGTGCCCTGACCACAGCAGCCCCAGCCTTTGGGCTCTGAAGTCAGGCATGTGTAAAGGCCAAGGTGACCAGAAAGCTGGCCTCCAGCCAACACCAAGTGATCCCACTGCACCCTCACCTACAGCGCATCTCTGCGTCTTTGGCCCTTTTATTCCCACCTGGGCTCTGCTCCTGATCTTAGAGTGGAAATTTCTGTGTCTTCCTGCTACTGGGCGAGCCAGGGTCTGGGCAGTGAGCAGATCCCTAGATACCGCGCATGGAAAGCCCTCGTGGGGAGGGCCCAGGGTCTGGGCAGTGAGCAGATCCCTAGATACCGCGCACGGAACGCCCTCGTGGGGAGGGGCCAGGGTCTGGGCAGGGAGCAGATCCCTGGACACTGCGCACAGAACCCCCTTGGGAGGGGTGAAGGAGCACTTGGCAGGGAGGTGCTCACAGCGTGTGCTCCTCACGTTTTCTGAGCCGGAGGGTGGGGGTGGCTGCCTGGCCATTGCGGCTGTGAGTCACAGGCCCTCGGGCGGAGCTGGCCACAGGGACAGGCGGGCCTCTGCATTCCAGAGGACCTGGGGGGAGGACCTGAGGGGAGAACTAGGGGGGCACCTGGGAGGAGGAGCTGGGGATATGAGTGGCATCTGGGGGAGGACTTGAGGGGACATGAGGGGGGTACCTGGAGGTATACGTGGGGAGGACCCGAGAGACGTGAGGAAGGCACCTGGGGTAAGACCTAGAAAATATGAGGGGAGATGTGGGGGATATAAGGGGTCACCTGGGGAATATGAGGAGGCACCTGGGGGATAGGGAGGATCTGGGGGAGATGAGGGGGCTCTTGGGGGTATGAGGGGGGATGGGGAGGATCTTGGGGATATGAGGAGCACCTGGGGGATATGTGAGAGGACCTGGGGGAGATGAGGAGGACAGCTGCAGCAGGGGAAGGCTTCCTGCTGGACTATTAGCTCAGAATGATGCTGTGGTGGTTGGCCCAGCCCAGGGAGGCATTGCCCAGAGGCTCCGCCGGAACAGGCTCTGTACCCTCGGGAAATGGGCCTGGACAGACAGCAGGCTGGGCTAGGACCTACGACCTACCTGTGGTTTCCCCAGTTGTTCATGGACATGTGTGTGGGAGGCAGGGGGTAATAGTAGCAGTAGGGTGTGTGTGTGTGTGTGTGTGTGTGTGTGTGTGTATTGCTGGGCATGGAGGGGGACACAAGGTGTGGGGAGGGGGGAGGGTATGAGCAAGGTTGCAGGAATGAAGGTGGGGAGATGGGGGTAGGAGAGGGACGAGGTGAAGGGGGTGCTTTTGGGGTAGGTTGGGGATGGGGAGGGAAAGGGGCATGTGGGGAGGAGGTGGGGAGAAGGTGGGGTGGAGGGTGCTGCCAGGGCCTGAGAGACCTGGGCAGTTGGGCGGCTGCAGGAACAGAGACGAACTCCTGGGTGGAAATTCCACTCCCAGATGGTATGACGGTGACAAAAGGAATGCGTCTGACACATGACAGGACTGTGAGACACAGAGAAGGGAAAGCTCCCTCCCTGCCCTGCCTGAGAAGGCAGTTAGTACCAGCTGGAGGGCTGACCAGCAGAGGGGAGACCAGCTGGGGGGCTGATCAGCAGTGGGGGACCAGCTGGGGGGGGCTGACCAACAGGGGGTAGACCAGCTGGGGGGCTGACCAGCAGAATGGTGAACCAGCAGGAGAGTGGACCAACTGGGGCTTGATCAGCAGGGGCTGGACTGGGGGTGGGGGGGTTGGACCAGCTGTAGGGCTGGCCAGTAGGTGGGCTGACCAGCAGGGGGGTTCTGACCATCAGGTAGGCTGACCAGCAGCAGCAGGTGGGTGGACCAGCAGCAGGCAGTTGGACCAGCAGCGGGCAGGCGGACCAGCAGGCTGTGGGTACATGACTGCTGGGCCATGCTCACAGCTCCAGGGGATGCCCAGGTGGCTCACTATGCAGCAGCAAGGAGGCACTGGTATTTGCTGGTTAGTTGCTCTGTTCCTGGACCCCACTGCTTCTCAGGTGACTCTGCTGGACACCTGGGTGCAGCTCTGTCCCCCCTTTGTGGCCTTGCTGCTGGCCTCTCCTTCCTCACAGTCCTCTGTCAGACTGGCTTCTCCTTCCAGGGTTACATTCTCAGTCTGGAGAGTAGGTGTGAGACATGCTTTTTGAACTGGACTGTGTCCCCCACACCCCTGTATGATATTCCCTGAACTATAGACTCACGGTAACATGTACACGATATGTAACAGTGAGCTACAAACACACAGTAACATATACAGTATGTAACAAAGTGAGCTACAGACACAAAAAATGTAAGAGACAGTGAGACATATGTAACAGTGAGATACACAGGCACATAAATGTAACATGTGTGTAACATACAGAGCCAGTGAGATAGGCAGGTGGACAGATGCACACGGATAACAGAGCTGCCCAGGTCTCTGGCTCAAGGCACCAAGGGGTCATAGATGGACCCACAGATGTTCTAGTGGGCACAGATTCGAAATGCCAACCTTTTGTTTAGGTGCAGCTTCAACCTTCTGTACCTCCAGGACTCATTTTCATGATTAAAAAACTGGAGTTAAGGGAGTTCTGGTGGCCTAGAGGCAAGAAACTGCACTGCAATCCCAGAAGTACACAGTTGGATTCCACCAGATGCTCTGCTGGAGAAGGAGGGGCAATCTCCTCCTGTACCAGTCAGATCCGATTTGACGGTACACACAAAAATAATAAAAAGTAAAAAAAAAACCCCAAAAAACAAAACTGAATTTGGGGTCAAACCGGTGCGAGAGTGCCATCTAGTGGAGGTTCTTTTATGGGGACGGCGGCGCTAGGAACGGGCCTTCAGGGTTTCGCTGTGGGGGTCCTGGGATGGAATTCTCTTCCATGTGAGAGACCAACAGCACGGTTCAAATCTACCAGCAGAAAGATGAGCAAGCTCCTCCCGTGAGATGTACTGCCTTTTAGAACCCACTGGAGGGTCAGCTATTGACATGTGAAAGCCAGGGTACCACAAGCATGGTGAGACTGTTGTCAGGAGGGCTCATCCTGGACAGACACTGTGAGGGGAGAGGTGGAGGTCAGCGAGAGAAGACTTGACGCAGTGGCTGCGGCAGTATCAGGGGTCACAGGGTAAACGGTTGTGGAGAGCAGTCAACCTGACCCCACCTCACGAGACCCTGAAGCCTTTAAAGCAGCCCTGGTGTGTGTCAGGCTGCAGGTCAGAGCTTAGCAGTTCAAACTCACCTGCTGCTATGCTGGACGAGGCACTTTCCCCCAGTAAAGATTGACGGCATCAGAGCCCCAGTGGAGGACTCCTCCCTCCCCCAAACCCCCCTCCGTCCTTGTCCTGTCACTTTGCATCCTCAGCCAGTTCCTGTTGTGTTCCGTGTACCAGGGAAGCACTCGGCATGTCTGCACAATCATTAGGCGACCCTGCTCAGAGCCTCTGTTGGTGTCTAATCCCCCCTCGGGCTGAGTGGGCGCCACCACTGAGCAGCCAGCCAGAGTCCTGGAAGAGCGAACACTGGCCTCCTTTATCCTGGTGGTGCAGTGCTATTACATGTTGAGCTTCTGGTCAGCGGTTCGGATCCTCAGGAGAAAGATGAAGCCGTCTGCTCCCAGAAGGATCACAGCCCCGGAAACCTGAAGGAGGGTTACCGGGGGGTGGGATGACAGGGGATCGGGTGGTGCAATGGGCCAAGACTTGGGGTGCTAACCAAAAGGTGGACGTTCAAACCCCCAGTCCTCCTCTGGGAGAGTGAGGAAGCAGCGGGCCTCCGTGAGGACTCGTGGCTCAGAAGCCCTGCAGACAGTTCTGCTCTCTCCCGGCTGCCACTGTGGGTCCCGAGCCCACCCCACGGCTGAAGGCTGGTGCTGGCTGAGGGTTTGAGTCTGGACTCTGTGATGACCGCTCTTTATGTGTTTCAGACTCAGTCCCGGGGCTAAGTCTTCAGCCAGAAAAGAGACAGACCCTGACTCCTCAGAAAATCACCCAGAGGCAGTCAAAGGGCAGCACTTGCCCAGGAATGACGGCCAGAGGCAGGAAGATTAATGGAAACCAGAGTCACGGGGAGGTGGGCAAACTGTGAGCCCCTGTGGGTGGGGTGCTTTTGTTAAATACATTGAAGTGGATATGTTAAAAGCAATCAGCTTTCTAAGCATTCATTTAAATCACAATTTTTTTTTTAAAAAAGTTAGCTTTCCCAGCCTTTGTGGGGCCAAGTGAAAATAAGAAGCGAGTTTTCTTTTTAAAAAGAACCACAGGACATGATACATATAGCATTTAATGTTCTCATGTATAAATTCTCATCCCTAAGAGTAGTCTGCAGAAGTCCCCATCTGGACCAGTGACAATATGACCCAACACGTGACTAGGGACGCAATGACACACCAGTACGGACTTGAGTCTGAACTGGAGTGTCTCCAAATACCCCGTGGACAAAACCCTAAACTAGTGACTACAGCAATTAACACTTGTCTATGATACAAGCTTTTGAAACAGTGTGGTTTGCAGTTAGCATCACATTTGGAAGCCCAGAGTGACCCCCCCACAATGCACTGGGAGGCTACTGGCCACAGCTCTCAAGTCCTGGCTGGCACCACAAAATGAGGCATCAGCACCATGGAAAGACCCAATCCAGCCAGGAGGGAGAGCAGACTGCATCTCACCAGGCACCTGTGCCCCCAGGGAAACTTCAACTAGAAATGAAAACAAAACAAACAGCCTGCAGGTGTTTGCAGAAGTCCAGGCCCATCACTGCAGTGGACACACCTGGCAGCCACCCTCCCTTCTCCGCGTCGGGCCTGGGTGCCCCTTCTCTCCATCTCGTGTATGCCCTGGGTTATGCTTCTCCTTTTATCCTAAGATGCAGCGGCAGACACTCCCTGTGGCCGCAGTGAGGAGGTGCGATACTTGTACCTCAACTTCCCCATCACCTCTGGCAGGTGATGAGGGTCCAGGTGGGCCGATGCTGCAATGGGGATGAGCAGCCCTCGGCCCACAGGAAGCAGCTTAGGCGGCCAGGCATTGAGTCCTGTCTCCCTGCCCTGGGGCTGCTGCGTGGAATTGGAGGAGGCAGGCTTGGACCAGGTGAGGACCTCGGAGGAGCGATTCTGCAGACCCACAAGTCCAGGGACCGTTGAGGGAAGGTGCGCCCAGGACCACAGGGCACAGACCCCCAGGACGACTCCCACACTGAGCAGACACAGCCACTCTCAATTGGGAGGGGGCACAATCTCACAGGCTGTACCCCGAGAGAACCATCACTTTCCAACCTCTGGACAGAAAGGAGCGTAATGGGAATGGCATTGGGATGGCTCCCTCCTTGGGGAGGTAAGGAGTGTGGTCAACTGACAACAGGCCCACAGCACAGCTGACCCCCATGCCTCGAATCCATGGTCCACTTCCTGCCTGTTCCAGTGGACCAAGTTCTCCTCCTCAGTGACCTCCCCTAAGGGACAAGGCTACCCTTGTTTACACCCCTGGCCTCATCCTTGCTGACCTGCTGGCTCTGAGGGGCGGCCAGTGGTCCCTCTGTAGCCTTGTTGAATTGGGACTCTGCTCCTGATGGCCTAGGCCCTGAGGGCAGTGCTGTAGGGTTCAGGGAGTGCTGCCCACCCATGGCCGGGTCATAGGGAGCTAGGAAGAGGTCATCAGGGAAGTAGCCCTCAGCCCCTGAGGGTTGGCTCAGAGCCTGTGCACAGAACGAACCAGGTAAGGGTAGCTCAGGCAGGTACGGATGACTCCAGGGCACCTGGCCTGTGGGATGGGGACAGAAGAGGAGGGGGTAAGCAGTGTTGAGAACAAAACACCTCTCACCCCTTTCTGAGATTCTCCCACCTCCAGGCACCAACCCGGACCCCAGGGCCTCCCCTCCAGGACGAACAGTCATCAGGTGGACTGAGGCCCAGAGGCATCAAGCATTGGAGCACTGGCTCTCAGGGGGGCAAGAGGGACACACCTTCCTCACCTGATAACTTTCCTCTAAATAATCACAGATCCTACTGGGGTCCCTGGTCCCAACTAGGAGGACACGCTCTGCCCTCAGCTGTCCACATGGGGTGCTATGACCATGCCACCTGCCTCTGATCTGGTTTCTGTTCCCAACACTGCCCAGTTCTCTGCTCTGTGCTAATTTCACCTGAGTGAGCCCAGCCCCCAACCTGGGCTATGACCCTGATTTTTCTAACCTCACCTTACCAGGCTGCTTACACCCCACTATGCAGGCCCAAGAACCTCAACAAGCAGGGTGACTCCCTGACCTCTGCCCAGGCCTTCCACCCTCTGCAGACTCACCAGTGCTTCCAGCTGGGGGCTGCAGCAGGCCCTGCCCAGTTGGGGGCCCCAGAAAGAAGCTTTGGGAAGGGCCCCCATGGACGCTGTAGGGCCCCGGGAAGAGGGCATCGTCCAGCGCAGGCGGTGTCAGCGAACTGGGGGAGGCGAAGGGGTGCAGGTACGGGAACAGGGGCTGTGGGGGCTGGCTGAGTGGCGGCTGTGGTGCTGGGGGGAACGGGAAGGCCCCCCGCTGGTGGCCTTGTGGGTCCAGCTCCTCCAGGTAGGGGCAGGAGGGTGGTGGTGTGATGCTGTGAGGCAGAGCGGAAGTGTGAGGAGTCGTCCTCACCATCTCCAGTCGTCTCCTGTTGCTGTGGCCACCCACAGGCTCTACCCCTTCTCCTCCAGGTCCTCACTGGGGTCAGGACGCTCCGGACCCTAAAGCTCCTCCTATGCGCTGTTCCTCCCACTGACCCTTCCGCCCCCCTCCAGAATTCAGGGATGGCCACCCATACCTTGTGGTCCAAGAAACACAGGGCCCCTCCCTGAGGCCAGTGTCACTGCCTGGCCCGTCCAGCAGCAGAGGCATCAGCTGGGGGGTGTGCACAGGGCGAAGAGGGAAGGGCGGATCCGCCCTGCGGACTGGTGGGGGGCTGAAGAGTGGGGGCGTCACAGCCCTCTGGTGTGTGTCTCCACCCTCCTGCGCAGGGTCTGGGGGCCTGGGAGGCTCCAGATGCATGGAGGACTCTGGAAAGAGAGAGAGGACCCGAAGTGAGGTGGGTGAGTGGCTGCACAGGCCGTGTTATGCACAGCCTTGGATCAAGCTGCCTTCCCAGGCCCCTCTCTAGGGGACCCCTCGGAGGTGGGGACTCACCTGGAGGAGCACTAGGAGGGCATCCCTGGGAGGGGGCTCCAGGTCCTGTCCCCACAGACACTGCAGGTGGGGGCTCAGCTGCTGTGTCGCTGGAGGCAGAGGTGCGGACCGCAGTGAGCCTCGTACAAGGAGGCGGCCCCAGACTCCCACCTCCACCCTCTAAGGGCCCACCAGACCCCAGACTTGCACCTGCTCCCCAAAGCTGACCCAGGTGACCAGGTTACCTGCTGTGCCCAGCTGCAGGGGTGGGGGCATTGGGGGTCTCGTTGACCCCCTTCCCATTCAGCTTCTCCACCCGCCGCCACTTGGCACGACGATTCTGGAACCATACCTGTTGGGGGAGTCTCACACCTGAGGGGGGAGTCTCACACCTGGGGTGTATCTCATGTCACTCATCACTTCTTGGGTGTTGTTTGACACCTGAGGGGAGTCTCACACCAAGGGGGTCTCAAACCTGGGGGGGGGAGTCTCACACCTAAGGGGGTATCCCACACCTGTGGGGACTCATCACATCTGAGAGTGAGTCTCACACCTGGGGACACACCACGCTTGAGGGGGGCACGTGAAGAGACAGAACAGGGCTGAGCCCCACTGCAGAAAGCACTATAAAGCGTAGAAGTTACCCCTCAGCTTCACAGAGAGGCTCCTGGGCCCTGGGTCTCCCACCTGCCAAGGTCCCCACCTCCTGCAGCCACAGCATGGCAAACATGAATGGGGCCAGGAAGGGGTCAGCAGCCGTGCACACAGTCCCTCAGCTCCCGCCCACCATCCCCGGTACCATGATACGCTGGGCGGCCACCCCCACGGTCTGGGCTATCTCCTGGCGCTTGTCACTGTCCGGGTAGTGATCCTCCCCAAAGGCTCGCTCCAGCTCCTCCAGCTGGTCTGGGGGGGAGGGGCCTTTGAGGGGGGCGGCAGAGCCCACAGGTGGCCCCCAGCAGCGGCTGAGGCCCCCAACTCCAGCCCACTCCCCAGACCAGCCTTCTTGAGGTTGGTGGTGCAGCCCTGACTCCCGCTGAAGAATAGTGGGGGGTTGTGCAGACCAGCTGACTTTGCTCCAGCCACACTCAGCCCCCTGGAGCCCCTCAGGGAGTCTCTCCTCAGCTCAATGGGCTCACCTGAGCGGTACAGGGTCCGAGTCTTCTTGCGAACCTGGCAGGCCACCTCTGGGGGCCCCTTCTTCGGGCCCGAGTCGGGGTTGTCCTGGGCCAGTGTACTGAGGAGGTTGGCCAGGTGGCAGGGGCCCCCTCCCAGCCCACAGGGCACTGGGTGGTGGTGGGCTGGGCCTGATGGGGAGCTCTGGGGAGGCACTGTGGTACCCGGCACCCCCGCTTTCAGCAGCTTCTTCTGTCCAGGGGCAGGGGACAAGGGCTGCTTGCCAGGTTTGGAGCCTCTGGCCTGGAGGGCACGCCCTGCCCCCTGAGACTGGGGTCCAGCTGGGTCCAGAGCTGTGACTCTGCCGGGTGAGAGGCATTGTCTGGGCCCCGACTTGGGGTGCTGGGAGTCTGCACCAGCATCAGCCCCCACAGGAACTGCGCGTGCCTCTGAGGATCGTCCTTTGCCTGCCGCGCCCTGGGTTGGGGTGTCTGGTCTCTGTAACAGCTTCTCCTGGCGTCCAGCATCATGGCCTGTGGGGACATCACCCACTCAGCAGGGAGGCAGTGCAGTCCGGTCCTCTGAATGCCACACCGATCCCAAGTGCAGCAATCCTTCCTACCCGCTCCCAGGTGAGAGCCTCAGCTAAAGCGGAAGGTAGGGGCCCCGTGGCTGGCGTCCAGCCACCCTGGGGACAGAGCAGCGCTGCCCGGCGGGGCATCTGGGCTGTAACTCCTTCCAGAAGCAGATAGCAGACTGCCTCATCCTCCTCCAGCCCAGGAGCTGGCGGGTAAAATCTGTCTGCTGACTTATCTGTCTGCCCAGTGCTTGACCCACAGCACCACTAGGCTCCCCGGCAAAGCAGACCTGCCTCCCTGCGTTTCCAGAAGGAAGACGGCAGGACTCTCCTCTGAGGCACCCGTGGGTGAAGTTGACCCCCCGTGTTTGGAGAAGGAGCCCCCTGGCTCCAGAGGGAGGAGTGAGCACCCCTGTGAGTTCTCTCAGACCCCAGAGTGGAGCGCAGGCCCCAGTGCAGAGGAAAGGATGGCGTAGGGGGAACTCCTGCCTGCTGCAGACACAGGGACACGGTGTCTCCAAGAACCCAGCTGCAGGAGCACTACCACACCCCTTCTCAGAGGGTGGCTGACACCCTGTGCAGTGACCCCTCCAGCAGAGCGCAGCTGGGCGTGGACAGGCGAATGACTTGGGGGACCACACATGGGGCGGGCAGCTAAAGTTCGGCTAGCCCACGGTGCTCCTATCCCTACACTAAAAACTAAGAAAGAAAATCCCTAGCTCACCGCCAGGAAGGCAGAGCCGACCGGTGGCTGACCTTCCAGGGACCCGGGAGGAGACTCGGCATCCCTCTCCCATGTGGCAGCTGGCAGTGCAGCTCCCCAAGGACTACACCACCCTGTCTCCCACGGGACTCCCTGAGCTTCCTCCCCCCCGCCCCGCTTTCGGGGCTGCTGTCCTTTCGGGGGGAGTCTGCATATTTGAAAAACGGCGCTAACTTGGACCTGAGTCCCTCGGCTTGCTCAAGAGGGGCAGAAGTCTGAAAGAATGGCCCCAATGGGGAGCAAGGGAGTAAGAGGACTGGGATTGGGGGGTGTCAGTGTCGGACTCTTGGCAGAAAGTCCAGGAGCCCTGGTAGCTCTGTTTAAGCGCTGGGCTGCCGAAGGTCAGAGGTCTGAAGGCCCCAGACCGCCCCCGGAAGGCCCTGGGAGTTCTACTGTCTCTCCAGGACGGGCCACAGAGCGGCGTCTGCAGGGGGAGTTGGGTGAAGGTCAAGAAACGTGAGAGGTCGCCTTGCCCAGGCCTCCGTGGGGCGCCGGGACCAGGCCCTGGACGGCTGGGAGGGGACAGCGCTGTGCGTCAGAGCGCATCCTGTGGGGCCCTCCGGGAAAAGGAGATCGCACCCGCAGCCCGCCTGCCCCCTACCTGGCCTCCCCCGCGGCTCGGCGCCCCTGAACCCCACGCCCCTCCCCAGGGCTCACCCCGCGGCTCCTCGCACGCGCGCCCGGCCCGCTCCATGGCGCACTGTGGCTGCGGCGCCCGCGGACGCACAGCGCGGCCTAATGAGTTGCGGCCAGGTGGCCAGGTGGCCGGGAGCGCAGGTGGGCAGGGGCGGCGGGCAGGTGTGCGGAGCGGCGGGGCCAAGCCCAGCCCCGCGAGACCTGCCCGCCCGCACGCGCCAGGCCCGCCTCGGGGCGCGCATTCCCAGCCCCCACCGCGGGGCTCGGACTCGAACCAGGTGCGGCCCGTCGGGGCGTGGGCTCCGTAAGGTCGACGGTGAGGCTGCAGGCTGCGGCGGGCCTGCGGGGCAGCCCAGGCGGGGGACCCGCGTGTGAACCCCAGGACTGAAGAGCCGGCGCTGCCTCGAGGGTTCGGAGCCACACCCGCGGAGGACGCAGAGCGGAGCGCACAGGTGGGTGCTGGCCACGCACGCCGCTGGGGGAGGCGCAGAGGCGGGCAGTGGGGTCAGCACGCCCCCAGCCCGCTTCTCTGGGCAGGCCTGTTCCCGGAAAGAAAGGGAGGCAGAGGTTGACGCTCAGCCTCTGGGTAAAATAATCCCAACTCTGAATTCCCTCGCCCCTGGCTCCCGGGTCACGAGGGAGTGACGAGGAGGGGCGGTGTGGGGTGTGCACAGACTGAGCCACGTGCTGGGGGACGGGGTGCGGGGGGGGGGTCCAAACGGAACCCAGGTGTCTCGCTTTAGGCGTCAGGCGACCGGACACCAGGTGTTTCTGGGCGCAATCACGGTGGAATGCTGGAGGGCGCGTCCTGCCCACGTGGACGTGGGGAGTGTCCACCCACTGCGGGGTTGGGACGGGGGTCTGGTCTCAGCCTCTGGGTCGGACAGAGCGGAGGTGCCCTTAGGGTTTGGGGAGCCCTGGTGGCCCAAAGGCATGCCTCTCTGGCCTTGGCATCCAGGGGTCTTTCGCGCAATCTCTCCTGCAGTTTCCAGCTTGAAAAAGCCCTGCAGGGTCATCTGAGTCGATGAGGGAGGTTTCCAGGACTTTTCGCCTCCAGGGAAGCTCATCACCACATCTCTCCTTCTCCCTCCTGGCTGACGGGAAAGCAGCGTTTTAGGGGGAAGCCCAGCACTGTGCCCCTTGCACCACCCCTGGGGAGACTTTGCAGTTCAGACTCACTCCTGAGGGCCAGTCCCGATGTGTGGTGAAGGGGGTACATTAAATGGAGGAGGCCGCCCTCTTTCTCTAGGGGGGGCCTCTGGTAGATTAATTCGAAGGACTGGAGTCACGTGGCCTTTAGTTAGCAGCGGCTGCCTAGGGACGTGCCACCAGAGAGCTTAAGGACCCCTCAAATCCGAGGGGGAGCGAATTGCAGGAGCTTCGTGGCATCTGCGGGGTGGCCCAGGTGCCTGGTGTTCTAGCTCTGTGTGTGGTTTTATAACATCAAGTCAGAGCTGACTCATGGCCAACCCTCAGGCAGGTTTCTCAGTCAGGACATCTCAGGGAGAAAAGTGCCCATCCTCCTCCTCTGGAGCAGCTGGTGGATTCGAACCTGTTCTCTCTACCTTGGCGGGACAGTCAACCACCACAGACAGCTCTCTGTCCTCTAGGTGTGGTTCATAGCCTCCAGTTAACAAGGGGTTGGATCCAGGCCTGGGTTCTGGACAGTGTGAGAAAACTGAGGGGGTGACAGGTGGGTGCTGGGGCACCTCCCCCCAAAGGGGCTCAGCTCACTGGGCAGTGTTTCTGCTTCAGGACATACAAGGTGGGCTCCGTGCTGGGGAGGGTGTTCCGCTTCAGAGTGCACAAGGTCCTGTGTGCACAGGGCAGCATGGGCTGGTGAAGGCGCAGGCGCAAACCTCCTCCGGTGTTTCCATGGACGGGGGCTGCTTCTGGAGTTCGGTGCCTTCCAGTCCCCTGTGGCTCAGGGGGACCCTCTAACAGAATGGAGCTCTGCTTTCGCCTGTGTCACCCCCAGCATCTCCCACACCCATTAGTCAAACCCTGTGTCAGTCCTTCTTGTCTTCTCTTTCTCTGACCCTCCACCTTTCCCAGCAGGATGTCTTTCTCCAAGGACTGACTCCCTGACAACATGCCTGATGTGTGAGACTAGGCTTCCCCGGCCTCGCCTCTCAGAAGCACTCTGCTGCCCTTGCTCCAGGACACACTTGTTTGTGCTTTTGGCAAACTGTTCACCAACACCGTAATTCTAAGGCATTGATTCTTTTTCCATCTTCCTTATTCACTGTCCAACTTTTGGATGTACAGGAAGCAACTGAAAAGACCATGCCTTGAGTCAGGCGCACCTTAGTCTGTGGACTGACATCCTCACAGAAGCCATCAAACGCCACACTCCCCAGCCAAAGCTCTGTGGACTTTCTGCTGGGGGGACGCTGAGCTCCTCGCCTGAGAGCCACTGAGACCTGGCCCCTGTCTGAAAACCTGCAAGTTGTCCTCTGAACACCAGTGAGTAAGCACAGGGTGGCTGTGAGTGAGTACCCTGCTTCTGAGTGCCCGCACTGCCACCAAGGCTGAAGTCTCCTGGGACTCAACCCCATCAGAACTTCCTGGAACTGCAAGAGCTGGGCCCCCGTGGGCCCCTGTGTCAGAACAGCTGTGCTGTATGGGTTGTCTCTCAGAGGTCAAGCAGCAGGGCAAGCCTGCCTTCTGAGAAACCCGAGTGGGCTCGAACCCACAACCTTGCAGTTCGCAGCTGAGGTTAACCATTTGCATCAGATTCCAGATAAGGGACCAAGACAACCACTGCCAGCGAGTCGATTTACAGTGAACCCTTTGGGGACTCTTCATGGGAGGAGGCTGCCCATCTGTCTGAGGAGCTGTTGGATCAGAACCACCAGCCTTCTGTTATCAGCCTGGTATGCTCTGCTCTGGGCTGCCCGGACTCCTAAGTGAGGGAGGGACTTGGAAACACATTCCAGCAACTCTCCCAGGTGCCTGTCAGCACGCTGAACCAAGACCCAGGTGGCCCACTGGGAGAGACAGTGGGTACAGCAGTGCTGGCCAGGCACAGGGCATGTGTGTGTCCTGCTGGGCAGGGAGAGCCAGCCCCATGCCCCTCATCGAGCCCCTCACAGTGTTGTGACCTCTCCTCATGACGAGAGGAGGCAGAAGGCAAGGAGACACGTGTTGAGGTGGATGACTGACAGCTGCTTTGTTGGTCAGGTTTAAAAGTAAGTGACCCGAGCCTTCCTTGTTCCCTTCCTCCTAAAGGGGAAATGGAGCAGACGTGTGTGACTGACTGAGAGCTGGGACAGGACACGGGGTTGGGACAGTTGGAAGAGACAAGTCCTCGGGGCAGGGCTGAGGCGGAAGGTCAGGGAACTGCCCACGAGGACCCCAGTGGAAAGAACTGGTGCAGATTTCTGCTCAGCTGAAGTCCCAAGAAAGGTAGCTGGGTAGTTGGTGAGATGACTCACTAACGTGGCTCTAGTGTGGTGTGAGCTAAGCCACTGGGTTGCTAGCTGAAAGTCAGTGGTTCAAATCCACCAGTGGCTCTCCAGGGGATAATGGGGCAGACTGTTCCAGTGTCACAGCCCTGGAGACTGTATTAAGCTCTTCCACTCCGGCCTGTGGGAGTTCTGGTGGCCTACTGGTAAGGAGTTGTGCTGCCATCTCAAAGGCATGTAGTTCAAATCCACACGCTACCCCTTGGGAGAAAGATAGGCAGTCTCCTCCTGTGTGATTTATTGCCTCTGAAAACTCACTGGAGAGCTACATCTGGGTCAGTTCTCACTCCACGGTACATAATGCCACCACTCTGTCCCTGAGAATTGGCAGGCTCACTGAGAATTAGTGTGAGGCCAGAAGAAATCAATTTGTGACACTTTTAGGGTGATTACTCTGAGTGCTCTGGCATTGCGCTCCTGAGAGCAGATGGTGCTCCTGACCAGCGAGGGGTGCTCCTGACCAGTGAGGGGTGCTTCTGAGAGCACATGGTGCTCCTGACCAGCGAGGGGTGCTCCTGAGAGCACGTGGTGCGCCTGACCAGCGAGGGGTGCTTCTGAGAGCACATGGTGCTCCTGACCAGTGAGGGGTGCTCCTGACCAGCGAGGGGTGCTCCTGACCAGTGAGGGGTGCTCCTGAGAGCACATGGTGCTCCTGACCAGTGAGGGGTGCTCCTGACCAGCGAGGGGTGCTCCTGACCAGTGAGGGGTGCTCCTGAGAGCACGTGGTGCGCCTGACCAGCGAGGGGTGCTTCTGAGAGCACATGGTGCCCCTGACCAGCGAGGGGTGCTCCTGAGAGCACATGGTGCTCCTGCCCAGTGTGGGGGGTGCTCCTGAAACACACAGTCACTGCTTTTCACCAGGCTGTGCAGCTTTCGCCCTCACTCTGGGCACCCTCGCCCCCTTAGTGCCCTGTCAGCTTGCACACTGCCCGCTGCATCCAGAGTCACGAAACATGCTCTGTGCCGTCTCTAGAAGGAGTTGGGGTGTTCTTGGTAAAGGCACTCAGCCGCTAACCAGAGCCCAGTTGGAACCCACCGCTGCTCCGTGGGTGATCTGGGGAGTGGTCTGCTCCCATCAGGCTTTGTGCCCCTGGATGTCCTGTGGGGCTGGTCTTCCCATCCTTAAAGGGTCCCTGGACTCAGTGGACTCAGGCAGTGAGTTTGGCTTTTAGTTTATTCTTTTTAAAAAAACAAAACAATGATTTCTCAATCTCATCTTCCTCACCAACCTACAGTTTATCACAGTGGTTTATTCTTTATAAAGTAGTATTTTATTTCCTCAGCTGGAGGTAGTCTTTGTATTTGAATTTGAACTTGTCGAGGACTGAGATGGATATGCTCTTGTTAGGTGCCATCAAGTCAACTCTGACTCCTAGCAAGACAGTGAACCAGGGTCCAGACTTGCCCTTCCCCCACCGCCTGTGATTTCCGTCCTGCTCAAGTCTACCGTGGGGTCACTGTGTCAGTCCCGCTCACAGAGGGTCTTCCTCTCTTTTGCTGACTGTACCTTTCCCAGCATGACGTCTCTCACCAAGGACTGGTCCCTCCTCAAAATATGTCCAAAGTTAGATGAAATTTCACCAGCCTTGCCTCATAGGAGCATTCTGGTTCCACTTCCTTCAAGATAGATGTGTTTGTTCTTTTGGAAGTCCATAGGATATTCAACACTCTTTGCCGATACCACAGTTCAAAGACACTGACTCTTCTTTCGTCATCCTTATTCACTGTCCAACTTTCAGATGCATGGAAAGTAATGGAAAATACCTCACCCTTTATGCTGACGTCCTTATTAGAATTTTGGAGAGGGCCTCAATAGCAAATGTCTCCAGTTCAACAGGTCTTTGGATTTCTTAGCTGCTGCTACCGCGAGTGTTGTTGGTGCATCCAAATAAAATGAAATTGTTGACAATGTCAGTCTTTTTTTTCCATCTGTCATGATGTTGCCTTTTGGATCAGTGGTGAAGATTTTTGTTCTCGATGTGGAGGCTTAATCCATATTGAAGGCTGTTTAATCTTTGATCTTCTGTAGTAAGTGCTTCAAGTCCTCTTTATTTTCTGCAAGCAAGGTTGTGCCATCTGCATAAAGCAGGTGACTGATGAGTCTTCCTCCAACCCTGATGCTGCATTCTTATTCATGTAGTCCAGCTTCTCAAGTGATTCCGTCAGCAGATAATTTTGCTCATACAAATTAGATAGGTATGGATAAAGGACACATCCCTGACACATTCATTTCCTGATATTTTTAAACTATGCAGCAGTCAGTGACTAGGGATGATAGGATAGTTGATGCCCATGAGCTGTGGTGCTTGAGAAGAGTATTGAATATACCATGGATGGCTAGGAGAACAAACAGGCCCACCCTGGAGAGGATAAAACCAGGCTGCTGCTTGGAGTCAAGAATTCTGAAGCTCTTTCTGACATACTTTGGGCATGTTACCAGCAGGGACCAGTCCTTAGAGAGGGACATCATGCTTGGGAGGGGAGGGACAGCATAAGAGAGGAAGACCCTGGAGGAGGTGGATTAACTCAGTGACTGGGGAAATGGGGTTATTTGTGTCAGAGACAGTAAGGTTGGCACAGACTAGAACAGGGTTCAGAGCTATTGTACATAAGGTCTCTATGAGTTGCAAGAGACTTTATGGCACATAACAACAGTGTGTGAGTGTCTATTGTAGCAACTGCTTCTTGGTTTATGTATAGGATTCACATGAACCCAACTTGTTATGGGATTCTCATTCTTCTCAATGTTGCCTTATAGTTTGTTATGATCCACACTGTCAAATGCCTTTGCACAATCAATAAAACATCAGTAAACATCTTTCTGGTACTTTCTTCCTTGAGCCAAGCTCCATCTGACATCAGCAATGATACCTCTGGTGCCACGGCCTCTTCTGAATCCAGCTTCAATTTCTAGGAGTTTCCTGTCAATGTGATATTAATTGCATGTGATATTAATTATATTGTTTGATAATTTCCACATTCTTTTGGATCACCATTTTTGAGAATTGGAAAAATATGGACCTCTTCCAGTCAGTCAGCTGATCGTATTTGTTGGCATAGACTGCGGAGCACGCCCAGGATTGCAGATGTTTCCTGAAACGTCTCAATCGTCATTCCATCAATTCCTGGGACCTTTTGACCTTAAAACCATCTGAAGAATAGATTCGATGCATTGAACATTAAAAATTGAGGACCACACGAACTGTGGGATGACATCCATTAAAAAGGCAAAAGGTCCTTACAGACAGGGAAGAAAGATAAGATCAAATGAGTGTTAGAAGACTCTGAAACTTGAATCAGAGGGAAGAGAAGTCAAGTGGAAGGAGCACTGAGGTAAGAGAGCTGAAGGTCTCAAAGGGCAGCTCAAGAAGACAGCAAAGTAGTGAAATGAAACGTGCAAGAAGCTACAATTAGAAGACCAAAGGGAAGAACATGTTGGGTGTTTCTTAAACTGAAAGAACTGAAGAGCAAGTTTAAGTCTCAAGCTGCAATATTCAGAGTCAATGGGCAAAATCTTCAATGATGCAGGAAGCATCAAAAGAAGATGGAAGGAGTACAGGCACTGTATCAAAAAGGATTGTTTGATGCTGAACCATCCATCCCAGGAAGTATCACATGACCATGATCCAGTAGCTCTGAAGGAAGAAGTCCAAGCTGTACTGAGGGCATTGGTGAAACGTTGGGCCACAGGAGAAGTATAGAGTGCATATGATTATTTTTCCTCCTATTGGAATCGATCTTTCTGCCCTGTTTCGTCCCTGAGACTGTACATGATGTTTATATGATGCTTTTCTGTTGGTTTACCTGACATTTGGTTTTCTTACTGATTGGCACTGGTGGATAGGCAGCATCTGTCCAGCTTGCTCACGGGCCGGGCCAGGCCCAGGAGGGGACACGGGGTCTACTGCCGCTCCCAGTACAGGAACCAGGACTGAGGACAGGTGTCACCAGCAGGCAGAGTGCTTCTGTGATATTGCTCACCACAGCATGGCCCTAGGCCTCTCCCCCTGCCCTGACCTTTTGGCCCCAACCCAGGGCGGCGCAGGTCCCTGCCCATGGCCACAAACACCTCCTTCTATCTGTAGGGAACATCTCTGGACTGAGTCACATTTCCCAGCCTGTGGATTCGCAGGAGCAGCGCTCAGCCAGGCTAAATGCCACCTGACCTGACAGCAGATGCCTCACCAGACTGGAGGTGGGAGGTACGAGCATACGGCACCTCTGCTTAATCCCCCTGGCAGCCCCCAGAGCCAGGGCCTCCCATTTGATGGAGCCTTCGTGCAGGCCGTGAGCTGGTGGGAGGCACACCCAGGCTTCACGTGCAGTCTCTGTCTCCCTTTCTTTTTTTTTCCCCTAGGTTTTTAATCTTTAATATTTGAGCAGCAAGGAGACAGTTTACAGGACAGTTTATGAGTGATGAATAGAAAGTAGGGCATATAAGGAATTTAGGGTTTTTATTTTAATGAAAGTTTACAGAGACTTAGGGTTTCTAGTCATTCATTGTTGCACTTTCCCCCCTGCCCACCTCTTCCCCCAATTCACTCTTCTCCTTGAAAAGTAAAAGAAAAACTCTTTCATTATTATGCATTCCCTCCCCCCAAGTCCACTCCACTATGCAGCCTTCATTTTGGACTCCTGTCATGACAATAATACCTAATCATCTATTTCTTTTAAACAGTTCTCTCCCTCATCTGTTTCAATGCAGTATACATCATTCCTCCCCTCCTTCTCTGTCTCCCCTCAACCCCGATGTCAGTCTTGTTTTATAACAGTGACACCGTGCAATATTTGTCCTTTTGTGACTGAGATATTTCACTCAGCATAATGTCCTCCAAGGCCACCCATTTTGAATAATATTTCATGAGTTCCTTGATTTTCAATGCAGCATAGTATTCCATTGTGTAAATATACCACAGCTTCTCTATCCATTCCTTTGTTGATGGGCACTTGGGTTGTTTCTAGCTCTTTGCTATTGTGAACAAAGCCAAGATAAACATGGGTGTGCATATATCTGTTTAGGTGGTGGTTATGGTTTCTATAGTCTGTCCCTCTTTTTTCCCCCTCATAAGATTATTTATTTGAATTCATATATGAATATAAGTGTATATACTGGTTCTTTTTTATTAATTATTTCAGTGAAAATTTACAGAGACTTTGGATTTCCATTCATTCACTGTTGCACTCTTCTCCCCTCCCAAGCCTTTCCCCTAGTACAATACCCTCTTGGAAAAGTAAAAGAAAAATTCTTTCATTGTTTTACAATCCCTTCCCCCAGGTCCACTCCACTATACAGCCTTCACTCTGGACTCCTGTCATGGCAAAAATACCTTATAATTTTCCCTCTTAAACAGTTTTCTCCCTCATCTGTTTCAGTGCAGTATACATTATTGAACCCATCCTTCTCAGTCTCCCCCCAACCCCAATGTCAGTCCTGTTTTGCAACAGTGGCACCATGCAGTATTTGTCCTTTTGTGACTGAGATAGTTCACTCAGCATAATGTCCTCCAGGGTCAACCATTTTGAATAATATTGCATGAGTTCCTTGATTTTCAATGCAGCATAGTATTCCATTGTGAGAATATACCACAGCTTCTCTATCCATTCATTTGTTGATGGGCACTTGGGTTGTTTCTAGCTGTTTGCTATTGTGAACAAAGCCGAGATAAACATGGGTGTGCATATATCTGCTTGGATGTCAGTTATGGTCTCTTTGGGGTATATTCCCAGTAGTGGAATTGCTGGGTTGATTGGTATCTCTATTTGCCTGTCTTTCTTTTTTAAAGTTCACTTTATACACTCTCT